AAAAAAATAATTAACGGAGGTTGAAGCACGTTTAATAAAATAATAAAAAATTAGAACTAACTTTCCATAAATAGTAATATAATGAGGGACCCACTAAAACACTTACTATTTTTAGTAAGTGAGTTGCCTAATTATATAGTAATAGATATTGAGGATAGTGGAGTTGAGTTAAAAAAAAAAAGTGATTTAGTTAAAATGATTGTATTTTTTTTTCCCAATCACACCCTAATTTCTCCCGATTCAAGTTAGAACAAGTCGATAACCGAATAACAAACAAAATAAGTTTTACGCATTCACCCCCGATTTCTCCTTCTGTGTATGTGAGTTTGTTTTTATGACTTCGTTTTTTGTTTATTTATTTATCTAAGAGTTACAGAAAAAGAGCAATTGTAGTTAACACGTAGTTAACTCAAACGCACACTAATGTGGTACAGATGGTAACATCACATTCTCACAAGACAAATAGCGATGACAGTTTGTAAAATCGTAAAATATGGAAAATTTTAACTACATATGGTTTACCTCCTGCAGCACCGTAGGATCATCTGAGAATCTTGCCGAAAGATTTATAAGCCTATCAAAGCCTCCCTTCTCGACAATAGTGCTCTTGTTCACGTCACTTCCTGCAAGCTAATAAAAATTCACGATTCAAGACAATGGTTCAAAGAATATATACACCACAGTGAGCATAAAGATTGGGCACAAAACAGGATGGAAAAAATAGCAGCAGTGTTCAAATCAAGAAAAATATAAGATATGTTGGGTTAGGTGTTGCACCTTAGATAATAGAGAGCAGCAGGCTCTTGCCACAGCGTTATTTCCCTGTAAACCAGTATCGTCAAGGCACTTGAGAATCACATCTATACCTCCATTATGAGCAATGGACCTGCAAATTTCGTCCTGTAACAAAACAAGAGTCATAAATAAATAAAATAAACGTCAAACTTCAGCATAGGACATCCAATCGAGTTGTTTCTGAAATCACAAATCATACTCTTGTGACAACTTACGGGCACACTTTTATTGTTTTCATCGCGTATTTTGTCTTGAAAAATACGTTTAGTGATGAAAGAATCTTGGTCGAGAATCACCTCACAAGTTTTTTCGCATTTTATTCCCACAGCAGTATCGTTAAATGTCAAGATGTCTACGAAAACAGTCTTAACATACATCATGGAAAAATCTCCTTTCGAGATTACATGATATACTTACATTGACAGCCACAGCCTTCAAAGCAATGCTGGCAGATATTAGATAGGAGGCGCTGAGTCCTTCTCGCAGTGAATCCACAAGAACCTCTGCAATTCCTAACTTTGCAAATTGTCGAGCATAGCCAAAAACCTGGAATAACAAAATTAATACACTTTAAAGATATTGTCAAAATAGTGAAAAATTATGAGCAGACTTCATCAGTCCCCTTTCCGCGTTAGGTTCTATATAGTGCTCAAAAGTGAAATGCAGTCCACAATCAAAACCATATTCATACTTGGTAGCCATCACTCACCACACCATATTGTTGATCAATCAAATTACTAATCCGACAAGCAAATTTCCAAAGAAGTAGACTTACCTGTGAGGCCACGACACGATTATCATCGGACGTCAAGATGACTCGTATGGCATCGTAAATGCTTGGGATACTCCCTCCATTGTGTTCCTTCAGAATCTTCACTATCAACTCATCAATTTTCAAGTCCATAAAAGATTCCTTGAGGACTTCATTGCCGGTTGCAGCTGCAGCCACGACTGAAAAACAACCATCCAAGATCTTCTCATCTTCTCTTTCACTGCTCAGAATGCCTACAATAATCTTTGGGCCACCGTTTTCCTTGAAAATTTCAGAACTTTGAAGATCTGCACAAGCACCATGTTGATGTAGAAATATTCAAACCAGCAAACTAAATGCCGTTCAAACTGGGTTTCACGATTCAACCCAGATTCCATACACAAACAGTTCCTTATTAAACACAATGATACTAGATTACTGAGTTCGTACCATGAAGTACAGAAGCCATGGCGTTCAATCCAGAAGCCAAGCCTCGATCGCGCGAATCCCGCAGCTTTGAGCAGACAGAAATCACCAACTCCACCGCTCCATTTTTTGCCGCAATCGCCGCATTCCCGGACCCTTTGTCTCCGCAAAGAACACCCAATTCATCTAGAAGCTCTACAACTTCAGGCAACTTCATCTCCTCCTTCAGTTTCCCCAAACATTCCATCACCGGATTGCTTTCTCCCGGAGCGCAGGTCACAATACCTAGAAAACAAATTGAGAGATGACGAACTGAAGTCCGGCGAAAAAAAGGAGCTGGAGTGTGCAATACGGAGAAATTTGGGGGAAAAATTAGCATGAAATCCAGGCGGAGATTCGAACCAGAGAGATCGACCCCTTGAAGTGTGAGGGTCTGGATGGCGTCCTCGAGAGCCTCCGTGGGGTCCATGCCGAGGTCGTCAATGTTTTCCTGAACCATTTCGTCGAATGCTTGCTGCGATATTGCACGCGCCGCCGCTTTCGCCGGAGCCATGTCTCGCCGACGATCTGCGATCGGTGTTGCAGAAGACGATATTGCACCTTTGGGTCTGTGTGCACGATGTAGTGAGTGGGGAGTGAGAGTGAGAAATTTTAAATTACGATTTAATTTGAAAAAATGTTCCTGGGCTGGGCCAATGGACGACTATATGGGCAGTCTATTTGGCCCATTAAATGTGGACAATTTTCTGCCAATAGCCCCAAACCCAGAGAATATTACATATCATCTACAAATTTTTTAATTGTATATTTATGATTTCATTTAATTATAATTATACTAACTTTCAATGTTTTATGAATGATTTATTTGTTGATTATTTTTGTCATTGGTTTCCAAGTGTCTCATTTGGTTTATGAATGTTTTTTTGTTTGTGGTATCTTGCATTAGTTTTTAAAAAGTATAGTTAACATGTAAAAGGGATTTTACATTATTCTGAATTTGATTGATTGAATTAACTTTGCATGTTTTTCACACTATTCTAAAAATTGGAAAAATCATTTTTTTTTTTTTTTTTTTTTTTTTTTTTTTTTTTTTTTTTTTTTTTTTATTTTTTTTTTTTTTTTTTTTTTTTTTTTTTTTTTTTTGTCCAATGAATCTACATACATTCACCTTCTTTGCCTAATGAACATTTCTCACTATCCATTTTCTTCAGCTTATCAAGGGCCAAAACAATACATTCAGCTTGATTTGAACTTTTCCCCACACATTAGCCTGATTCCCAACAGGGCCCTGAAGAAAAAAATGCGAAAGGTGCGACAGGGGAGTCTCGATTTTTCCGAGTTTCCTCAACGCAGTTGAGAACAAAATCCATACTTTCTTGCATGGATGCTGTATTTGGTTGAAAAACTCATGTTTAAAAGGGGTTGTTTCATGAAATGAATGTGGTCCAATGTAGACATCTGTGTTTTGAAGAGCTCTGTTCGGTTGCTTTGAGTTCTCGTCAAATGGAAGCACTTGATAGCTGGTTACTATGCCTACGCCATGCACATAACACAACAGTCCACGAACTAGCATCAGTCAAGTAGAGCTCAGTTGAGCCTTGCTCGTGTTTTCCAAGTGAAAATCCATTCATTTTGTGCAAGAAATATAAACTTACTTTACTTTAATGGGATCGACTTCTTTTACTTCTGACTAGTGCAGGATTTTTATTTATAATGTGCATGGATAAAAGAAAGAGTCAAACACTGGAAAATCAAGCAATGCCTTGCTGCTGCACGTAAATCGTTTACTAAACGAACTGCACAAAAATACAGCAAACGAGCATTTCATCACACGGCTACTCTAAGCAATCTGATAACAAAATGATAAAGTACAATATTATTTCTCCCCATAATCAGTCAACTCAGTCGCATAAAACACATTTGAGCAATGCCTTGCTGCAGGCAATCTTTTAGTAAACGAACACACAAAATACAGCAAACGAGCATTTAATCACACGGCTACTCTAAGCAAAATCAGATAACAAAAAGATACAATTTTATTTCTCCCAATAATCAGTCAGTCAACTCAGTCGCATTCAAACACAAGGGCATCAAACAAACACATTTGGCCTAAATCACATTTGCAATACCGAATAAACGCACACAGAATTTCATTCTTTACCTTCACCTCAAGGACATACGTTGATATAGATCATCCGCCAACACTTGCCTTAAACTCTCCCCATAATAATGAAACGACTTCTCGTTCTCCATAATCCTTGGTGGCTGACCCTTCTCCTCAGGCTCTCTCCACAGCTCAGGCTCGGGCTCCCTTGCTATCTGACAAAGGTTATGCAATACACAACAAGCTACAACTGTTTGGGGCGCGTGATTCAATCCCACATTCAAATCCTGTAGAATCTTCCACCGACCCTTTAATAACCCAATAGCCTCCTCAACTGCTCGTCTAGCCTTCATCAAAGCCTCGTCAAATGCATTATGAGGCGGGCTCGTGGCTCCATTGTAGCCGAAGGGGGTGAGCAAGAAGGAAAGCAATGGGAAACACCAGTCACCGACTATGTATGGCCTCACAGCTTGTCCCCGGATGCTTACCGCCTTGTCCCAGATGATATCACCGGAGATTAGCCGGTTGTAAAGCAAGCTATCGCGAAAATGGGCGGCATCTTCAGACCCTCCGGGGGCTTTTACGCAAACGTCCCAGAATATTTTCTTGTGATCTGAGACTACTTGAAGGAGAACGGCAGGGAAGTTGTACTTGCAGAGGTATGTGGAGTCGTAGAGTTTGTGGAGCTTGATGGGAGTGGTGTCAATGGCGCCACAGATGTTGGGGAGGGAAGTGAGTTCTTGAAAGCCTTGAGTGGTTTCGACAAGACGGCGGCGTGAGACGGGGATCTTGATGAACTCAGGGTAGAGCTTGGT